CGACAATATCGAATATATGTAGGGTTGCAATTATGTAAATAAGTTAAAATTGGGTACGTGAATACGAACACACGTACATCAGTGTATTGCAAATGCATATGCGATTTCTACGTTTTGTGAGATTAGTTTTAGTAATTTTTATTTTTATTTTTATTTTGGTAATTAACACAAACTAAGTTAGTATAGTTAGGTGTTTCAACAATATCGCAGTACACGAATATATAGAATTAGAATAAAACACTAGAAGAATATTAGTAATTGGTGCAAATTACAGCCCCGGCGCCTTATAAACATTTTTTTATTTGCTGCAATTGTTGCCAGCAGCAGGTTTTTTTTAGCCGTAGCAGCAGCAACAACAAGTGTAGCAATAAAAAATGTGCACCTGATCTTGCGTGTCGATTTTTTAATTTCTTTAACCTACTTTGTATTGTATAACTCTTCTGCTTGAACATACAAATTTCTTAAAGCTCTCTTCAATCAAATAAATTTGTACAAAGTATTAAACATTTTGCTTGAAAAACGTATTTTTTGTAGGTTTTTTCTTAATATTTTTTTTTTTTCTTTCTATAACTATTGCTCTTTTTTTTTTTTGAAAAGAAAGTTATTAGCTGGAACATTGTCGTTACAAATAGACTTCAGTGGAGACGTTAAACGTTTGCGGAGGCCTGCAAAGAGATTCACGCAATGCGCGCTATATGTATGTATGTATGTATTGTTAAATATTCGACATCAATGCGTTCCATCTTCAATTTCTTCGTATACATGTGTATATTGCATTTTATATGTATGTATGTACATTACTTTGTGCATTGCACTCCATCAACGAAAAAAGGAGGAATAAAGAAAAATATCACTGCAAGCAACCAATTCACAAGTACATACATACGTTTGTATGTGGTGGTAAACGCCGAAATGAAACATAGTTTTCTTTAGATCAAGTTTTCAATTGCTCAGTTTTCCCCAAAGCATGCACATGACTAAACTTTCTTAACGTTACAAAATTGTGATGTTTTCCTCTTTCCTTGTTTTTTTTTTTTTTTGTGCTGCACAAATTCGCTCGACTGTCATGTCCTTCTAGGGACATAAAATGTTTCTATGCCTAAGCACTCTTTTCAAATTTGGTACAAAAAAAAGTTTGCAATTTGGTATTGAGGCAAATGAAAACACGACATCAAGATTTTAAAAAGTTTCAAATTTACATGAACAAAGGATTAAATCGCTTACATCGGGCACCAAAGCTATGTACAGATATGTAAATTCCATTCGACCAAATTTTAAATGCATTTATGTAGGTGATGGGGTCGACCCTTCTTGACCCTTCTGAAGAATTGCGTTAAATAATTTTCAACGTAGAAAGATGATTTAAATTTGCGATTAATTGTACCATCTGGCAGTCAGTTTTACACACATCTGAGTTTTTAGTTTTCTTCTCTGACGTCAGGATTTGTTTAAAGGATATGAATAATTGAAAAAATTACTTAAAAAGTTCAGTGTAATTCTACATTGCAACAATACGGGTAGTAAATTTAAGTGAGCATTTTTCATAATTGGAAAAGATAAACTGTTTGGAACGAATAGGTATTGACAATGTCCTTTTAAGATATTGTCTAGAGTACCCTTGGAAATTTGCTTGCAATCTTTATCTTCCAGAAAATTTGTTCATTACTTTAAAATAAAAATAAAAAACTAAAAGGCCATTTGCAATACCTATGTACTCATCCTTATGAACAAAAAACATTAACCTTTTCCAATAAAATTACCAAGAACAAAGTAAATGGATTCGCCAATGAAATGGTCAAAGAAAAATCAGAATCTTGTTTCGTGTACTCAAAACCACTTTGTGGTCTCCTTGAGACTTACATATATCAACTGAGTTGATACACCATACGACGATAGAGGAACTTAAACAGGGCGGACTCTTTGATTATTATGTTAATCACGGGGTGTTTAACTAGTCATTTGAATTCTCTTATACATATATCAACCAGGTTTCCAGCCGACTTTGCGTTGAGAACAACGTGACGTTGGCGCACATCCTATGTGACTGTCTGGTGTTGAGCGGACTAGGACAAATGCATTTTAATTACTTACTTACAGTCGATCCCTTAAGTATAAAGAAATCTTTTACTAAGACACGTTTAGCATTCGTTAAGAAAGATGGCAGTATCTTGGGCTTTCAAGGTTAAGAACTAGATAGTCGGGATACAAAAGATCGCCTTGGCCGACATACAATTGGTATAATTTGTTTACTATAGTTTTTGATAAAAAAAAAACTAATTTTTGCAATTTTTAAATAGTTTACAGTGGCTCAAAGAAATTACCACGTGTTGCTTTTTTTTTTTAAATATAGGTAGGTCTCCAAAAAAAATTCTCAAAAATCAACACAATTTTTTACTCAAAAATTTTCTAAGGATTCAGATTAAAAAATTTTAATTTTAATGAAAAATTGTTGAATTTTCCTAAACTTTGTATAAAGTTGGAAACTGTGATTGATATGTTTTTGGATAAAGCTTGGACGATATTTTTTTGGAAAAATAGCAACAAATAGTTAACTCGAAAAGCATTAGCAATATTAAAAAAAAATAAAAATCAACACGTGGTCATTTTTTTGAGTTACTGTATGTACATATATGCATAAGGAAAACTAAAAAATTGGCCTTTTAGTTTCATTAATTTGGCAAATGTGTTTTTGCTGCTCTTTGTATCATCTTGAAAACCTGCACCGCCGGCTTATATTTTGTTAATATGTCGGCTGGAAAATTTTTGTTTAGTTGGTATCTAATTTCATAATCAATACAATTCCAGTGACGGTTTTTCAAGGTAATTTATTTAGGTACGAATTTCCGTCATCCCTTGTCAAGTTTGGTTTGGCGACAAACCGGTTTTGGCGTAGTGCCATCTTTAGTGTTATTTTTCGTTCGTTTGGGGCTTATGCCGAATTTCCACCATGCATTGAAATCACAAAAAAATATATGCCATTAAAAAAAATGCCAAATCGAAACTAACTTAATGACAATTTTTTTAACGGAATGACCCGAATATTTTTTAATGCCCAACTTTGTCATTTTTGACAATTAAATGCATAAATACTTTTTTTCCTATTTGACTTTTCGAAATTTGTTAAGATCTCTGCGATTTTATTCTTGGCTTTTCCTTAGTTAGATCATAGGGGATTTGTCCAGGATTCTCTTGGTGTCGGCATTATTTTGTTATTTTTGGGGTTATTTTAGGATTTTTGGGACCTCTCGGAACGACATTGGTGTACAGTTGTGCCCATCACTGGTTCTATTCATAATTTTTAGTTCACTTTATCGAAGCTATTTGGTGCCCAATGTTGGATTTGAAACAAATCAAAGTTCGATACAAGTAAAAACGTATTGTAAAAGGTACAATATGTATGTAAGTAAATACAAAATCGTAACAAACAAATTTGAATAATAAATATGTAGCTGAATTAATGAGTTTATAAGATGTTAGTATGTAATTATGTATCAATGTGAGATGTAAGATGTGTTAATTATAATACGAGTATGCTGGAGAAGTGATCATCGTATTCTAATTTTTACAGAATAAAAAAAAAAACGTTGAGAAAAGGATATATAGTTAGGAGAAGAGATGAAAGAATGTTGTTAACCATAATCAATGGGCCAATATTCAAATAGTAGTACAATTTAGGCATCAACAATGATCTTTAATGTAAAATATGATTTCAGTAAATGAAATGTAAATTAATATAGAAGAAGAAATCGTCAATTTCACTGCACAAAACACGCACTCGAGCTGCATTTTTGAGTGTATTTTGTAAAATCAAAAAGTAAAACAAAGAAATTTACAAATCATTTGCAAAATTTTGTACACCTTGACGAATAAAATATAACTAAATAATATATTTTCTGTTGGTTGTTTGATAGAATCATAAACCCTATTTGTTGTAGATACATATGCAAATAAATCTTCGTTTTTCTCAACACACAAAAATGGCAAACTATGTCGTATATAAAATGGAAAATGCAATGATGCAAAAAGTGGAGAATATCTAATTTTTTACCTATTTTTAGTTTGGTGTACCATTACGTATACTTGATATTTAGGTAATTCGATTTTTGGCTATTTTTCGCATTTCATATTGGTGTAAGGTTACTGGTTTACTTGTGGTGGTGGTGATGGTGATTGGTGATTGCAAAGTAGGTACTGGCTAACATTGTCATAAACAAAAACAAAAAAAAATACGAGTACTTGTACGTTTGTATTAACGAGTATTTACAGTAAAGTAAAACGACGTGGTGAAGCGAGTACGTTTGGCAGAGACGAGGCTATTGCCTTGAATCACATACACACGCACACATATGAACAATTATGTATGTATGTATATACATAAAAAAAATTGCGAATACATATGTACATACATATGTATTTGTGTAACTATTTGTTTGGTTGTGTATGTTGTTCTGTGTGGCCAACTAACGCACTCGACTAACAAAATACAAAATCTTTGGGTAAGTAATACAAAAACGAAAATAAATAATAATAGTAATAATTAACAAAAAACACAAAGAAGCAACAGTAATCAAAATTAAGCAAATTCATAATTGTTGTTCTTGCAAAGGAGTTCAAATATCTGTCCCTCATTATTTATACTGCTTGTTTTGCTTACTAACTAGTTTCGAATTTTCATTTTTGATTCTTTTTTACATATTTTTTTTTTTTAGAATGAAAAAAACGACACGGCACGACACGTAGTAGGGCAAATAGAAGTGCTGGTGATACATACATAACATACCCCTGACAGGGGG